CACACACACACACACACACACACAAACACACACATTTGAATTCCCGATGGTGTCGTGAAGCTTGCAGCCGATGCTAAAATCATAGAAACCTTGGCCCACACGAATTGTAAGCAAGGTCTTCGATACGCCACAGGACCTGGCTTCCACTGACTGCGACCAGTGAAGATGGCAAATCCTGCAAGAACAGGATTGAAAGTGGACATCGACGGGACTCGAGCTGCGGGCTTGCTAAGTCCTCCCTCACAGGAGGCTTTTGTATCCCGAATGGGCAGCCAATCGACTGCACAACCCGATTTTTCCGTAGCTTGAAAGCAGGGAAAGTAAAATGCCGATGTATGCTGGGATTAATTTTTGTCATGTTACTGAGTTACTGGTAGTCTCGAAACTCTACTTACATACGAAAAATGGGGTAAGTAGTATGCTTGTTTTAGTGTTAACTTGAGAATTTTATGAGAATGAATTCCAGCTCTGATGATGTCCATCATATGATGGGCCAAAGCTCGACCCGTATAAAAGCCAAACGGCTGCCGTAGGATGGGATTCAACCGCCCTCTCCTGGTGAGATCGACCTTGGAATCTCTTCTTCATACACTTTCATATGAAATGAAAGTACCAACAATAAGTGTTAGTCTTTCTTCACACTTTATTCTGACGTTCCGTTTCCCCATTAATTTGCCTGCCTCTTTCTAAAGCTGTCAAGATATCAGCATCCGGAACATGCTCTTAATGGTTGTCTCTTCTTATCCATTCGCATACTTTCGTAGCTGTATAAAGAGTAATAATAATATGCTGAGAATTAACTTTTCACATTTAATTATTGTTTTGAGACTACCAGTAAATCAGTAATATGGAATGTATTCACTCAATTTCGTTTGAGGTGATGAAGGACTGGTAGAAGAATTTTCCCACAATGATATCACCTTAAACGAAATTAGGGGGATACATCTCATATTACTGATTTACTGGTAGTCTCGAAAAAATACTTAAATGCGAAAAGTTAATTCTTAGCATATTATTATTACTATTATATAGATACAACATTATGCAAATGAAGTATTGTTGTCTTAGATACCAGTAAATCAGTAATATGAGATGTATTTACCCAATTTCGTTTAAGGTGAGGAAGGACTGGTAGAAGAAGAATTTTCCCACAATTATATCACATTAAACGAAATTATGTGAATACATCTCATATTGAGAATTTACTTTGTTTTTCGAATTAAGTATTGTATCGTGACTACCAGTAAATCAGTAATATGAGATGAATTTACCTAATTTCGTTTAAGGTGATGAAGGACTGGTAGAAGAAGAATTTTCCCACAATGATATCACCTTTAACGAAATTGGTGATTACATCTCATATTGAGAATTTACGGTATTTTTCGAATTAAGTATTGTCTCGTGACTACCAGTAAATCAGTAATATGAGATGAATTCACCTAATTTCGTTTGAGGTTATGAAGGACTGTTAGAAGAAACATTTTCCCACAATGGTATGAGTATAGTTGACGTTTCCATTGAATTTCCCATAGTCTAGTTTCCGAAAAGTTGTTCTCATTCTTAAACGAAATTGTGTGAATTCATCTCATGTTGAGAATTTACTGCCTAAGCTTCAGTTTTTAAATTGCTAAAGAGCAGATAATGTGCGGATTATTTGCTTTCTGGTTGAATCGGTCAGCTTCTGGCACGACACGAGATGGCCGACTTCCTCGAGGCGGCGGCGACGTCGAGCACGGGTGCTGCAGTCGTGTCGATGCCGGCCGGTTGCCTGCTCAACGACACGGTGTACACCAGCCTGCCGGGCTCGGACTCGGACAGTGCCGGTTGTGCTACAGCCGGCAGCGACCGACAATACGCCGGACCGAACAGTCTGACGGGCTTTGGCGCTGCCATGGACGGCTTCTGCGAGGCTCGTGGCACTCCGAGGTTGGGCTCTGCCGTCAAGAGCCACTTGCTCGCCTCTACCGCGTCGGCAACCAACTCCGCCTCGTCGGGCCCACCACCACCGCCGCCGCTGCCGCCACCGCCCCCGATGCTCCCACTCCCTCCGCCACCGCCACCGCCGGCGCCAACACCGCCGCTACAGGCGCCGATCATTGGTGATCCGTTTGGCGGTGATCTATTGCGAACCAACGGACTGCTGGCCGCTGAGGACGAGCGTATGTTGGCCTCAGAGTTGGCCGGACAGAGACAACAAATGATGCTGACTGCTGCCGGTTTGGTACCGGTGCCAATGCCGGGGCCGCGCAACATGAGTCAACAGGAGCACTGCCAGCGGCTAGCCTTCAGTCCGGCCAATAGGCATGTCTTACGCGTAACCATGGACGAGGGACGCCTCCCCGCACAGACAAAAGGTAAGCATTCTCGAGGAGCGATGTCGACTTACTCTGATCCGTCTCTATGCCGCATGATCCGAACCGATCCGACTCAATACAGCGTCATCAGACCCGAGCATATCCGATCTGATCCGAC